AGATTTTTTTCAGGCCCTCAAGTATGCTGTTTTTCTTTTGTGTATGTGTGTGTGTATTTTTTTTTTTTTTTAAAGATGGGGTTTCTCAGGCCGGGCGCGGTGGCTCAAGCTTGTAATCCCAGCACTTTGGGAGGCCGAGGCGGGTGGATCACGAGGTCGAGAGATCGAGACCATCCTGGTCAACATGGTGAAACCCCGTCTCTACTAAAAATACAAAAAATTAGCTGGGCATGGTGGCACGTGCCTGTAATCCCAGCTACTCAGGAGGCTGAGGCAGGAGAATTACCTGAACCCAGGAGGCGGAGGTTGCGGTGAGCCGAGATCGCACCATTGCACTCCAGCCTGGGTAACAAGAGAGAAACTCTGTCTCAAAAAAAAAAAAAAAAAAAAAAGGCCGGGCGCGGTGGCTCAAGCCTGTAATCCCAGCACTTTGGGAGGCCGAGGCGGGTGGATCATGAGGTCAAGAGATCGAGACCAGCCTGGTCAACATGGTGAAACCCCGTCTCTACCAAAAATACAAAAAATTAGCTGGGCATGGTGGTGCGTGCCTGTAATCCCAGCTACTCAGGAGGCTGAGGCAGGAGAATTGCCTGAACCCAGGAGGCGGAAGTTGCGGTGAGCCAAGATTGCGCCATTGCTTTCCAGCCTGGGTAACAAGAGCGAAACTCCGCCTCAAAAAAAAAAAAAAAATCATATGCCCTAAAACCTACACATTTAAAGAGTGCAATTAAATAGTTTTTGTTATAGTTACATGTAACCATTGCCACAATTTTAGAACATTTTCATCACATCAAAAAGAAAGTCCAAGCCCCTTAGCTATCACCTTGTCCCAACTGCACCCTAAGCAACCCCTAATCTACTTCCTATCTCTACAAATGTTCCAATTCTGGACCTCCATATGGATGAAATCAAACAATATGTGACATTGTATGACTAGCTTCTTTAACTTAATGTTTTCAAGGTTTATCTATATTGTAGCATGAATCAGTACATGATTCTTTTTTTTTTTTTTTTTTTGAGACAGCGTCTCTCTCTGCTGCCCAGGCTGGAATGCAGTGGCACAATCTCCACTTGCTGCAACCTACCCCTCCCTGGCTCAAGCGCATGCCTCAGCCTCCCAAGTAGCTGGGACTACAGGCATATGCCACTATACCAGGCTAATTTTTTGTATTTTTAGTAGAGACGAGGTTTCACCATGTTGGCCAGGCTGATCTCAAACTCCTGATGCCAAGTGATTTACCCGCCTCAGCCGCTCAAAGTGCTGGGATTATAGGTGTGAGCCACCACACCTGGCCTCTTATTTATTTATTTATTTTTTTTGAGACGAGCTCCTACTGTTACTCAGGCTGGAGTGTTATGGCATGATCACAGCTCACTGCAGCCTCAACCTCCTAGGCTTAAGCAATCTTCTCACCTCAGCCCCCTAAGTAGCTAGGACTACAGTTGTGTATCATCATCCCCACCTAATTTTTTTATTTTTCGGAGAGATGGGGGTCCCACTATGTTGACCAGGCTGGTCTTGAACTCCTGGACTCAAGTGATCCTCTTGCTTCAGCCTCTTCAAAGTGCTGAGATTACAGGGTTTATTCCCTTTTATGGCCAAGTAATATTCCATTGTGTGGATTTGCCATATTTTGTTTATCCATTCACCAGTTAATGAACATTTGGTTTTGGAGGGCTATTATGAATAATGCTGCAATAAACATTTGTGTACAGGCTTTTGTGTGACAGATTTTCATTTATCTTGGGTGCATACCTAGGACTGGAATTGCTGGGTCATAAAGTAACTCTATGTTTAATCATTTGAGGAACTGCCAGACTGTTTTCCAAAGCAGCTGTATCGTTTTACTCTCCCACCAGCAGTGTATGAGGGTTCCAATCCTCCATATCCTTGCCAATCCAACTATGCCTTTTTTTTTGAGATGGAGTTTTGCTCTTGTTACCCAGGCTGGAGTGCAATGATGACACAATCTCAGCTCACCGCTATCTCTGCCTCCCAGGTTCAAGCAATTCTCCTGCCTCCGCCTTCCAAGTAGCTGGGATTACAGGCATGCACCATCATGCCTGGCTAATTTTGTAGTTTTAGTAGAGACAGGGTTTCTTCATGTTGGTCAGGCTGTTCTCAAACTCCTGACCTCAGGTGATCCACCGCCTCAGCCTCCCAAAGTGCTGGGATTACAGGCGTGAGCCACCACACTGGGCTCCAACTATGCTTTTGAGAAATAACAAGGACAACTGAAGAGCCTAACTCTAATTTGGGTAGCTAGTACATAGCAACAAGAGGAGTGCAGGGACAGAAGAGGGGTTCCTCCTCTATTCTAAGCCCTTAGAATCAGCCAGAAAGAATACAGCTATCTCTAGTACTCTTCCTGACCTCCTAGGCTATGTTAGCTGCCCCCGAAATGTGCCCAAGAATACATATAGTACTTGTCATTCTTCTCCACTAGACTGTAAGCTTTAGGCAGGCAGGAATCTCTATTGTTCTGACTTTATCTGCAGCACCTAAACAGGGTCTGGCACATAACAGATGCTTCGTAAATGCTAATTGAATGAGTAACTAACTAAACAAATGACTAGATATTTCTCTACTGGTGGTTCCTGTCCAGGGAGAAAGGAAAAGAGCAGTCTTAGAGGCAAAAGGCATCAAGGAGGGAAGCAAGAATGAGAGGAGAGATGGAGAAGAAAATGAAAGTCAGTCCATAAGCCTGGGGACTTGGTGTCACTTGAGGTCAGCCTTAAGTTATAAGGTCAAACTCAGAGCTAATGGACTTGCCCTAATTCTTTGCTTTCCATGTGGCTGCATTTTTTTCTAGAAATGCTCCCTTTTATTTTTTGTTATTATTCCCAACAATTTTGTCTTTGCAAGAAAAAGAAACAAAAAAGTAGAAAAGCAGTTGTTATTACAGGTAAAAGAAAACATAAATCGACCCAACAAAATTAATTCAGAATTTACAAGGATGGAGGTCCCATGGAGGAAAAAAATAAATCATCATCTAGGTTTTTCTCCAAAGGTCATTGAATGGCCTATAGCCCAAAAAGTTGATCACAGGACATGAGAATATGGCTCACCTCACAGCCATATTGATAATGGCTGGCCTTTCACACAAATCCTGCCTTCTACCTGGACTAATCTGAATCCAATGATCACCAGGCTATTCGTCCCTCTCTCCCTAAAAGCCTGCATAGCTTCCTGTCCTTGGTTATTTCCTGTCTCTCCTCTGAAAACACACATGCACATGCACACACACCCACACACACACACACACACCCACACCCTGATCTTTCCTTTTCATGAATCCTCAGGGTAATTCTACCCTCTCCACTTTATGTGTTTGGAAGGAAAGATAGCAAAATACATAAGATGCCAATGCAATTCCTCCTTTAGCAGAGCTCCGCAGGACAATTACCCACCCAATTTGCCTGGTTTTATAGCTCTCAGAACCCTCCTTTATGAACATGCTGTGACAGCCGGATGTGGGCATTGATTATGGCAGCAGTCTTCAGCCACATTCCTATTTAACTGCAAAGCAGAGCTCCTGCCTACCAGCCCAGCACTGATCATGTGACTTTTTAAATTACTATATTTATGTAAGCCCTTTCCCTACCAGAGCCTGTGTCCAACTCCATCAAAATGGGGAGGATTTGAACTTGCCACTTCCCCTTCAGTGGCTCTTTGGCCGTATAACCTAGGGTCTCTTGCTGGAATCAAACTGGGGCTCTGGGCTTTCTTAGGAGAGATCTGCAAGGGTTGGGGTGCACAGGAAGCATATCTTTTTCATTATGAAAGAACTGAGAAAATCGACAATGAAACATATTGGCAGGGCTGGGCGCGGTGGCTCACGCCTGTAATCCCAGCACTTTGGGAGGCTGAGGCGGGTGGATCATGAGGTCAAGAGATCGAGACCATCCTGGTCAACATGCACTCGATGAAACCCCGTCTCTACTAAAAAAAAAAAATACAAAAAATTAGCTGGGCATGGTGGCGCGTGCCTGTAATCCCAGCTACTCCGGAGGCTGAGGCAGGAGAATTGCCTGAACCCAGGGGGCAGAGATCGCACCATTGCACTCCAGCCTGGGTAACAAGAGCGAAACTCCGTCTCAAAAAAAAAAAGAAAGAAAGAAAGAAAGAAAGAAAGAAAGAAAGAAAGAAAGAAAGAAAGAAAGAAAGAAAGAAACATGTTGGCAGATGCCAAGGGCAGTGGCTGGTTCCCAGGGACTCACCTGGCAATGGTGCCAGGTGTAAGAAATCAGCAGAACTCACAGGATTGGTGGTTGCTGTTGGGGGGCGGGTGTCGGAAAGGAATTTAGGGGAATTAGAGAATGGAATAAGGAATTGCTGTTTGTAGGCCTTTTCCCTCTGGACCCCAGCTTCACCACCTGTTTAGCAGGACAGAATAATACTGACTCTAGCCAGTAGAAGAAGGAAGTTTAAGTGTTCCAAAGAAATCCTGGTAACCTTGCAGGCAGTCTGTCCTGACCAAGGACTCTGCCTGATTGTGCCATGGTGCAGGGCAAGTTTAGCAGAGAAAGCCACTGTTCTTCAGCTGCGGCTGTTCAGTGAAAAATTCCACTGCAGGGCACTAGGGATGCGATCCTGCAGTGGTAAGCAGTAGGAGTGACTGGCTTAATCTATTCGAAAACCTCCTGGGAAGATCCCGAAGACCGCAAACCAAGGTGACCTGTGTGGGTGGGCAATCCATTAGCCGAATGACAGAGCTGCCGCAGAAAGCCAGAAAAAGGATATGCGTGGGAAGCGCAAAACCGTGGGCTGCGTCTGCAGCAACGGAAAGGCGCCACGCTCGTGAGGGGAACCAGCGTTCCGGGGTCGCTCAGTGTGGGCAGACAGAAAGCCTGGCTCCACTAGGATTCACAGATTCTCTCCTGAGCAGCAGCGAAGTCTGTGCCCTTTCTATCCTTGAGAGATGGGATGGGAGTCCAACAAACGCAGCCATTGCTGAAACCCCAGCCCTTTTCTCCTATAAGAAGCAGGATTACCTCCGCCAACGAACTCGCATTTTTTTTTTTTTTTAAGTCCGGCCTTTCCTAGGTGGGGTCAAGGGCCCCGCCCACCGAAGCCACGCCCAGCAGCCGCCCCGGGGCGGGGCTCTCCTGGGCTCCCGCCTGCCCTTTCCCCTCCGGCCTCTGCCGGTGCTGCTGCACCCTGCGGAGCTCCGAGCACGTGCGCGTGAGTAAGGGCCCAGTGGGGAGAGTCCTTGGAGGTTTCCCAGCCCAGGGAATGAAGCAGTGCAGGAAGGCTTCTGCCGGTGCACGGGACGAAATTAGGGTTCGTTCCCTCGTGACCCCGAGCTTGGAGGGCATCTGAAAGAGACCTAGGCCCCAGAGTCATCCCCTGTTGTTCCACCATCCCTCTTTCCTCTTCTCCCTAGGGAGTTCTCTAGAGCCTGACTCCGAGAGCGTGGATCTCCCAGTGCCAGGGGCAGGGACTTTGGGAGGTTTGTGAGGAACAAATGTCCGATGGAACTGAGTCAGCGCCTTTAACCAGAGCTTTGAAAGGGGCAGGCTATTTTTAGATCTGTTTTTAGACCCAGCGAACATGAACCCTCTCTATTCATTTTCCTGTTCCTCTAAATTATGTGGAGGAAGGTAGGAGTGAAATTTAGGGATGGCTGGAAAGAGATATGATCTTTGCCTTACATAAATTATAACGGTGACTGTGTAGGAATATTATCATCTGTGCAAACATTTTGTTTATTGCCTTTAATCAGTAGTTGAGGTCTTGGCACGACTACTACCTCCAATTCCCCTCACACCCAATACTGCAGTTATTTTTCTAAGTGTTAATTTTTATTGTCCTTTAAGAAGTCCCATATTGGAGGCCCTCTTCTAAACACTTTTAACCGGTTTTCCCATTGTTCACTGCCCATTTCTCTCACGGGATAACTTTTCCCTTTCTACTCATGCATATTCACCATCTAAGCCTTTTTTGGAATGTAACTCCTCAGGTGTTTATTGTGTGCCCACACTGTACCAGACATTATCCTGGGAGTTAGCTTATATTCCACTTAAGCCTCCCAATCACCCCATGTACAGAGTACTATTAGTAATATCCCCATTAGGCTTGGTGCACTCACTCGCGCCTGTAGTCATAGCTACTCAGGAGGCTAAGGCGGGAGGATTATTTGAGCCCGGGAAGTGGAGGCTGCAGTGAGCCATGATTGTCCCACTGCACTCTAGCCTAGGTGATGGAGAAAGACTCTGTAATAGAATATCTCCATTCTACAAATGAGGAGACTGAGGTATAGAAAGGTTAAGTTACTCACCCAGTGTCATTTGGCTAGACGCTGGTTAGGTGATAGAGCATCCTGATACTTGTTTAATCTACTCTTTTGCTACTGTTGAACTTCTGTGGTGTATAAGTAACAAGATGTGAAAACAAAGCTAAACAAGGATAAGCTTTTGGTTTTATTGTCTTCTGTTTCTGTGGCTCAGGCCTAAGTTACCGAGTTTTGAGGGCAGGGACTCTGAGCTGCACACGTGTTCTCTGTTGGCTGACTAACCTGGAGTTTCATTGCAGAGAGGCCAGCTATGGCAGATGGAACTGCAGGTGAGTGCAACCCCTTTAGCCCTCTTGGTTCCAGCTGTAGGCAGCTGCCTAGGTTGTCTTGTACCTAGGCAAGTGTTACACTGCTGGGAGAACAGCAGCCAATAGCTGGTTGGCATTCTGGCCTTGGTTCATGCCAACTCTGTGTTGACTACCCCAGGATGCCAGCATAGTTGCTTATCCATTAAGGCCAGGGGTGTTTTTGGCTTCCCTGGGCCAAGCACTGAAAGAATAAGAATTGTCTTGGGCCACACATAAAATACAGTAATGATAACTGATAGCTAAATTTTTTTTTTAATTGCAAATAAAAAAACACAGCACTTTGGGAGGCCGAGGCGGGTGGATCACAAGGTCAAGAGATCAAGACCATCCCGGTCAACATGGTGAAACCCTGTCTCTACTAAAAATACAAAAAATTAGCTGGGCATGGTGGCGTGTGCCTGTAATCCCAGCTACTCAGGAGGCTGAGGCAGGAGAATTGCCTGAACCCAGGAGGCGGAGGTTGCGGTGAGCCAAGATCACGTCATTACACTCCAGCCTGGGTAATAAGTGAAACTCCGTCTCCAAAAAAAAAAAAAAAAAAAAAAAAAAAAACCTCATAATGCCTTAAGAAAGTTTACCAATTTGTGATGGGCCGCAGGTTGAAAAAGCTTTCATTAAGATTTAATCTGAGAACATGACTTTTTGCAGAGAGAGTAAGTCCGGACCTTCCTGAATAGTTCTGGTCTAACAGGTTTGGCTAGTATGAAGTTACTTGAATCATACCTTGGAAACAGAACAAAGCTAAGGAGAAAGGGGAGTTGGTTAAAATAAATGGAAAAGTCACACCTTTGTTTTTAGTGCCTACCAAGTGCTCAAAGAGGGCCAGATGCAATGGGATTTTTGCTAATTTCATTAAAATTAAAGTACATGGCTCCCACTACTCACCATAAAACCTAGTCATGATACCCTTTGTAGAGGGATTTTTTTTTTTTTTTTTTTTTTTTTTTTGAGACGGAGTTCCGCTCTTGTTACCCAGGCTGGAGTGTAATGGCGCGATCTCGGCTCACCGCAACCTCCGCCTCCTGGGTTCAGGCAATTCTCCTGCCTCAGCCTCCTGAGTAGCTGGGATTACAGGCACGCGCCACCATGCCCAGCTAATTTTTTGTATTTTGAGTAGAGACGGGGTTTCACCATGTTGACCAGGATGGTCTCGATCTCTCGACCTCGTGATCCACCCGCCTCGGCCTCCCAAAGTGCTGGGATTACAGGCTTGAGCCACCGCGCCCGGCCTTGTAGAGGGATTTTATAGCCATAGTTATATATGGGATGCCTTATTAGGGAAACTGATGCAAATTCACTTTAAAATTATGGGCATTCTCTAGCTTTTTTTTTTTTTTTTTTTTTTTGAGAGAGAGAGAGAGAGTCGCTCTGTCACCCACGCTGGAGTGCAATGGCACAATCTAGGCTCACTGCAACTTCTGCCTCCTAGGATTAAGAGATTCTCCTGCCTCAGCCTCCTGAGCAGCTTGGATTACAGGCACCCACCACCACACCTGGTCTTGAACTAACCTCGTGATCTGCCCACCTTGGCCTCCCAAAGTGCTGGGATTACAGGCGTGAGCCACCACCCCTGGCCTCTCTAGCTCTTTAATAAAATATTAAATATTGCTGGGTGCAGTGGCTCACGCCTGTAATCCCAGCACTTTGGGAGGCCAAGATGGGCGGATCACGAGGTCAGGAGTTCAAGACCAGTCTGGCCAACATGGTGAACCCCTATCTACTAAAGATACAAAAAATTAGCTGGGCATGGTAGCACGTGCCTGTAATCCCAGCTACTAGGGAGGCTGTGGCAGGAGAATCGCTTGAATCCAGGAGGCAGAGGTTACAGTGAGCCGAGATCATGCCATTTCACTTCAGCCTGAGTGACAGGGCGAGACTCAAAAAAAAAAAATTGATTAAGAGGGCTCTGGGAACTGGCTAACTACAACCACCCTAATTTCTCCTTTTCTCCTTTGGGCAGACAATATATATATTCACTTTAGTTGCTTATTGATTTTTGGAAATGAATAGTTGGCTGCCCCATTAAAGTGGTAGCTATTGAGTCCTCTTTGTAGTAGTTTTGTTCCCAAGTAGTTGGGATGATAGGTGCAGGCCACCATAACCAGCTGGTTTTTTTGGTTTGTTTTAAGACAGGAGTCCTGTCGTCCAGGCTGGAGTGCAGTGGCATGATCTCTGCCCAGTGCAACCTCCACCTCCCAAGTTCAATCAGTTCTCCTGCCTCGGCCTCCCAAGTAGCTGGGATTACAGGTGTGTACCACCATGCCTGGCTAATTTTATATTTTTAGTAGAGATGGGGTTTCACCATGTTGGCCAAGCTGGTCTCAAACTTCTGACCTCAGGTGATCTGCCTGTCTTCTGACCTCATGATCCACCCACCTTGGCTTCCCAAAGTGTTAGGAATACAGGTGTGAGCCACTGTGCCCGGCCTTTTTTTTTTTTTCCCCCCTAGTTTATAAAGAAAGTCTCACTATGTTGTCCAGGCTGGTTTCGAACTCTTGGGCTCAAGGAATCCTGCCTCCCAAAGTTCTGGGATTACAAGCATGACCCACAGCACTGCGCTGGCCTGGAATGCTAATCTTTTGAGAAAAAATGACCCTCAGTTGCTGTGAAAAGTGACATCCTAGTTTCCACAGGAGGAACTGGGGAGGATACTAGGGGGCAGGGGGAGTTGTTTATCAAAGCTTGTTTTGTTAGATCAGTTGGCATTCCCTTAACAGGATTCTCTCAGCTAAATGTGAGTGCATTGTGTGAATGCCTCAAGTGTTAACTGAATAGCCTTTTACATATGGGGTCTTAAGACTAGCAATATCTGTAGGGCTTGGGGGATGGTTAACTTCATGGTACTCTAGGCAGGGAAAAGGCAAATTATGGTAAATAAAGTAATTCCTGACTGAGGCTATAGAAAAAAGAGTAATTGTATATGTTACATGGGGTACAATGTGATGTTTTCATGTATCTTTACATTGTGGAATTAGTAAATCATGCTAATTAAATCTAGCACCTCACCTACTTATATTTTGTTGTGGGGAAAACATTTAGTATCTTTTCACAATTTTGAGATACACAGGCCAGGCTCAGTGGCTCACACCTGTAATCCCAGCACTTTGGGAGGCTGCGGTGGGAGGATCATTTGAACCCAGGAGTTTGACCAGCCTGGGCAACAGAACGAGATGTCATCTCTATAAAAAATAAATCAGGTGAGCATAGTGGCATGCACCTGTAGTCCCAGCTGCTTGGGAGGCTAAGCCGGGAGGATTACTTGAGCCAGGAGATTCAGAGTGCAGTGAACCATGGTCATGCCACTGTACTCCAGTCGGGACGGAGTGAGATATTATCTCATATATATATATATATATATATATATGTGTGTGTGTGTGTGTGTGTGTGTGTGTACATACGCAATGCTTGTTTGTCTTCCTTTTTAGGATGCCTTGAAAGTAGGGCATCCTTCAGCCATCTGAAGAGAGGAAATAATGGCAGATGACCGTCTGCATATGCAGTTTTTTTCAGGTAAATATCCCCGTTCATTCCAATATTGACTACCTCCTCCGTACCAGGCCTGTTGGCTAGTTGGTATCTATCAGGAAACAATTGGGAGGCAAATTAGCCTATATTTGTAAGATCCATGAAGGAAAAGACAGGATGTCTTGTTTTATTTACTGCTAGATCCCAATCACAGCGCTTGGCACATGGCAGGGACTTTCTGAATGTTGGATAAAACAACTGAAAACATGAGAAAGGGATTCCTGTTAAAAGGTTTGACAGCAGGGTCTGCAATCAGTGCTTCCACACCTGTTTTGCAGCCAACATTCAACTGATATGTCTTTTACCTGGAGTGCCTAGGTATCTGAAACAAATAATGAAAAAGCTGTTTCAGGAATCATCCAGCGGTTGTCAGCTATCCAGGCTCATGTGATGCCTGTGATGGCGTTACACTGTTGGAAGAGCAAGCACTGTCTTATTGAGGTTTGGCTCCAAGCACTGTTCTGGTGTTGTAGCTGAGTACCTTTGGGCAGTGTTTTGCACCTCTGAGAGTGGAATGACTCCTCCTGTGGAGTTGGTCCTAGTCTGGGTGCGAACAATTTTTTTTTCTGTTAGAAAAAGGACCCTTTCGACTGGGCACAGTGGCTCATGCCTGTAATCCCAGCACTTTGGGAGGCCAAGGTGGGCAGATCACCTGAGGTCAGGAGTTCAAGAGCAGCCTGACCAACATGGAGAAATCCTATTTCTACTAAGAATACAAAATGAGCCACTGGGATTTTGCCTGTAATTCCAGCTACTCGGGAGGCTGAGACAGGAGAATCGCTTGAACCTGGGAGGAGGAGGAGGAGGTTGCAGTGAGCCAAGATCGTGCCATTGCACTCCAGCCTGGGCAACAAGAGCAAAACTCCATTTCAAAAAAAACAACAAAAAACAGAAAAGGAAAAGGACACGCTTACTTAGAGGCAGTCTGTCATTTGAATCGTAGATGCCTTCACCTGAGTGACATCTAACTCCATCAGGACCACAGATGTCTGACAGCCCTGTGCAACACCAAGATAACTAATGTATGTATGTATGTTGTCTTTTTGTCATGTAGGTCTCAATTAACTTATTATAGCTCAGATGGGGATGGGGGCTTAAAAGTATGTTTTTAAAATTTATGTAGAGAAAAATAAAAATAAAAATAAAAAAAATTTATGTAGAGTATCAGAATTTTAGAGAATTCTTAGAATCTAAAGTCCAGCCCCTCATTTTCTAGAGCTCTGCTGTGCAATAGCTATATGCTACATGTGGCTGTGTAAGTTTGTAAAAAGTGAAATCACTGGCTGGGCACAGCGGCTCATGCCTATAATCCTAGCACTTTGGGAGGCTGAGGTGGGTGGATCACTTGAGGTCAGGAGTTCAAGACCAGCCTGGCCATCATGGTGAAACCCCATCTTTAAAAAAAAGTTAAATAAAGCTTTTTTTTTTTTTTTGACGGAGTCTCACTCTGTTACCCAAGCTGGGGTGCAGTGGCATGATCTCAGCTGACCCCCCCCGCCCCAGGTTCAAGCAATTCTGCCTCAGCCTCCAGAGTAGCTGGGACTACAGGCATACATAACTATGCCTGGCTAAGTTTTGTATTTTTAGTAGAGATGGGGTTTCACCATATTGGCCAGGCTGGTCTTGAACTCCTGACCTTGTGATTCACCTGCCTCAGCCTCCCAAAGTGCTAGGATTACAGGCATCTTTTTTTTTTTTTTTTTAGAGCCGGAGTTTTGGTCTTGTTGCCCAGGCTAAAGCATGATGGTGCAATCTTGGCTTACTGCAACCTCCGCCTCCTGGGTTCAAGTGATTCTCCTGCATTCAGGTAATTCTCCTGCCTGGAACAGCAGTGCATGATAAAATTTCTGCATTAGTGGAAATGTTCTCTGAGCTGCCCAATATGTTAGTCACTAGCCCAACAGATTCTGAGATTAAGAAACTGATTTATAGGCTGAGCACGGTGGCTCATGCATGTAATCCCAGCACTTTGTGAAGCGGAGGTGGACAGATCACGAGGTCAGGAGATCAAAACCATCCTGGCTAACACGGTGAAACTCTGTCTCCACTAAAAATACAAACAATCAGCAAAAGTTTGAGATGTTGTTTTGGTTTTGTTGCCCAGGCTAGAGCACAATGGCGCAATCTCAGCTCACTGCAACCTCACCTTGTACTGTCACATGCCTATAGTCCCAGCTACATGGGAGGCTGAGACAGGAGAATCCTATGAACCTGGGAGGCGGAGGTTGCAATGAGCCAAGATTGTGCCACTGCACTCCAGCCTGGGTGACAGAGGGAGACTCCATCTCAAAAAAAAAGAAGAAGAAAAAAATAAACTGATTTATTAAGGCCAGGCACAGTGGCTACGCCTGTAATCCCAGCACTCTGAGAGGCTGAGGCAGGCAGATTACGAAGTCAGGAAATTGAGACCATCCTGGTCAACATGAAGAAACCCCATCTCTACTAAAAATACAGAATTAGTTGGGTGTGGTAGCATGCCCATCCTAGCTACCAGGGAGGCTGAGGCAGGAGAATCACTTGAACATGGGAGGCAGAGGTTGCAGTGAGCCAAGATTGTGCCACTGCACTCCAGCCTGGCACAGAGTGAGACTCCATCTCAAAAAAAAAAAAAAAAGAAAGAAAGAAAAGAAAAGAAAAAAAAATCAGTAGTAAAAATAGTCTGTGTTTTTTATGTGTTTGGGATTTGTTTTTTGGTTTTTGGTTTTTTTTTTTGCATGGGTTATTTATAGCCATTCTTTCCACTTTTGCTGTGCTCCAAGGGAGATGTTTTAAGAAAGAATAGCAGTCTTCGCTTCTCAAACTCAGTCACAATCTCAGTCTGAGCTGGTAAAACCAAAATGACTCCTAAGGAAAGAGAAAAATTTCCTGTCATGAATAGTCACAGTGTTTTAAATCTGGGGCCTCAAGTTCTAAGCATAGAGGTTGTCTTCCTGACTACAGTAGGGCTATCCGTGTGCAGAGAGAGGTTCCTGTGTTGCTACTTGAAAAGAGATAATTCATTGGTATTTGTGTTTCTGTATTTAATATCCCAAAAGGTATCAATGGTATAGTCATGTGCATTAAAATAATATGATGGAGTTTTCTACTTTGATAAATGAAGTTAATTACTCACCTACTTATCCCTGTTGTGTTAGAGACAAGCTACCCCAGAAAACCCCCTTAGTGCAGCTGACCCCCACTCTGATGGCTCTGCAGCTGGATTCCTAAACTCTTATCCAGGTGCCACAGCAAGGCTACCAGACATTTCACGTTGAGCAAAGCCTGGTTACAGCTATCTGGGCAGCACAGGAGAGGTCATGAGAAACAAACCTTTGTTACATGTACTTGTAAATTCTTGTTTTACACATACCTGTAAATTCCTGTGTTTTTTTTTTTTAACTGCCACCACAAAATTCACAGGATGATGTATTTGCAAGTGTTTCACAAGCTGAAACTATCTTCTTGCTTGTTACAAGCTGATAGACTATCTTAGTCTGGAAACTTCCTTAGGCCCCTCTCATCCCATATAAACCCCTCATTTTGTAATCTCAGGGCTGCCTCTGACTGTTATGGAGCAGCCTGGCAGGTCAATAAACTTGCTTGCCTGACTTTGGGTCTACTCGTCCTTTCTCTTGGCTGAACTTACATTTTGGTGCCAAAACCCGGGAGTGGGTAGGCTCTAGCCTGGCACCCTTAGAGAGCTCTTTCTCTATCCCTCCCTCCCTCTCTGATCACCCCTCTCCCAGCCACCCTCCCCTTCCCAAACCAGCTGAAGACCTGGAGGATCTCCCAGACTCTTGCCATCTACCCAGAACCCTTGACCGTCTCTGCCTTCCTGAAAGACCCAGCACTGGGCCAACGGCTTATTCAGCCTCCAGGCCTCTGGTTCTTCCATTTCAGGTATGCCTGACTCAGCAGCTACCTCCTCTATTCCGGACAAGGCCCACAGGAAAGGAGGCACCCTCTCCTGCCGTCCTTGTCATCGGCAGTCTGTTTTTCCTCTACCTACATCCTCATTTGCTACAGGAGCCTCTCAGTCTACCCCTCCCAAAACTACTCCCGCTGGGTGTCTCCTGCATAATCTTAATCTCGGCTTCCATTCAGAGGTTCGTCCTAAGAGACTTATCTTTTACTGCAATACTGCTTGGCCTCAATACAAACTAAACAATGGCTCCCGGTGGCCTGAAACTGGCACTTTTGACTTCAATATACTTAGAAACTTAGACAGCTTTTGCCACCACAATGGGAAATGGTCTGAAATTCCTTATGTTCAAGTTATCTTCACTCTCTGTAGCCATCCTTCCCTCTGCCAGTCCTGTTCTACTTTCCAAATTATCCTTGCTTGCTCCAAACCTGACTTCTTCCCATGGCCCTGGCCAATGACTCATCTTCTGCCACACTCCCCATAGCCCCAGCCAACTACTCCTTTTCCTCTGGCCCTACCTCTTACCCACACCAACCACCCTGCATCTGACTGAGTCCTCCCTGTCTCCACCCTTTACCTGCCCAACATGCTCAGCAACCAGCTCTCTTGCTTCCCCTCTGGGAGGTAGCAAGGACCAAAAGGATCATCTGTGTCCACCTCCCCTTCTCCCTCTCTGATCTCTCCCAGATTGAAAAACGTCTCAGGTCTTCCTCCAATCCCGATACTTATATCAAAGAATTTAAATATCTAACCCAGTCTTATGAACTCACTTGGCATGATCTCTATATTATCCTCTCTTCTACCTTCCTTCCGGAAGAGAAGGGAAGAGTCGCTCACAGCTCGGGCACATGCCGATGATCTTCAGGCAAGATCCTACTAGCTGTAGGAGCCGCTGCCATCCCCTGGGAAGAGCTTTTCTCGGAGTACCATCCCATAGACCCTGGCCAGGTGTCCTTTAACCATATGATTACTTGCCTTATTGCTGGCCTTTACAAAGCTACCCATAAGGCCATGAATTTTGAAAAACTTAAATTTCCCAAAAAGCAGATGAAAATCCTGCCCAATTCCTTTCCCACCTTACAGAGGCTCTCCAAAAATATACTTGTGTCAACCCTGCCTCCTGAGCAGGAACTATTGTTCTTTTTTTGCCATGGAGCAAATTTATTGTGAAAGCTCATGGAGTGAAGAAGGGATGGGGCAGGCTCTAGGAGGCTGAGTCAGAGGCCTCTGAGCTGTCTTTGACATCTGTGCTCTCTGTGGTCTCACTGACCTCGCTGAGGTCCTTGCTGTTCCCACCACTATCATCGACAGCCAGGCCCTTCTCCTCATGACAGGCCTCTCCTGAGCTCGGAGGTGAACTGCCTTTGCTGTCCACCTTATTCTCAATGGCACCCAGCACCACGTGCCTGCCCTTCTTCAGCTCCAGGTGCCGCCTCAGATCATTGGCCATGTGCGTGAGATCCTGCTTCATGGCGAAGGCATCCTCCACATCTGCATAGTATCTGGGCTCCACTTCACAGATCTGAAAGTTGAGTGTGTTGGAATAGAGGTGCAGGGCAGCCCGGTTACTCTTCCTGACACGCAGGGAGATGTACTTGGCATTGAAGTTCTCTATCATGGCTCGAGAGGCCTGGACCATCAGTTTCTGTGCCAGACTGAGGTGCCAGTGGGAACGCTTCACAGCCAATGATGTGATATGTCCATGGGGCACATCATCTGGGTCCCCTTCCATTTTGGCCAGGACATACATACCCCACAATCTTCCCATTCTCACCCTCAGCAATGTAAGAGAACTGGGGCCAGGAGAGGCCATGGTAGAAGTAGTATTTCATCTGGTAGTTCTCGGGCAGGCAGAGGAGGCTGCATCAGGTCCTCTGGCCTCGCACTGCAGATGTTCATAACAGTGGCAGGGCTCGCGGGTCCCAGCAGATTGTGAAGGCACAGTCAGCTGCTGCCACGCTCAGAAGCAATGCCAGGAGTGCCAGGGCTGGGGCTTGGGCTGTGCTAGCTAGGGTGGAGCTATTGTTCTTAATACCCATTTTATCTCCCAATCTGCCCCCAATAAGATGGCCCTCAAACAAGATCTTAACCTGGCTTTCAAAGTCTTAAATAACAGGGATAAGCAAAGTAAATTAGATAAAGCCTGAAGAGAATGTGCCAAATACCAGCTTCTAGCTGCAGCTGTCCATCATCAGCCTAGCCATTGTACCCAAGGGCACAAAAGACCTGATAGCAGTAGCCTCCCAGGCCGTGTTTTAAGTGCAGCAAAGGAGGCCACTGGGCGTGGGCATTTCCTAACCTATGAGTGCCAAAAAGCCCTTGCCCAGTCTGCCAGCAGACAAGCCACTGGAAGTCTGACTGCTCAACAGACAGAAAAGCCTGCACCTCAGA